ATATATATTTATATATAATTAATAGTATTGCTTGGATCGTTGCATTATGCAACACTCTATTTTATATGTGTCTGCCAGCCTAAAATAACACTGGAAGACGGTTATAACGTTGTTGTTTTGTTATATTTTTGGGTTTTTTTTTTTTTAAATAAGAGACAGAGAAAAGTGAAAGTGAAAGAGGATTTATAGAATATTTAGTACCTCTCGCGTTCATCCGTCACAAGAATTTGCATTTCTGGAATACTGTTCAGGCTCATTGGTGTTGAACAAGTGTGAGTGGTGTGGACAGTCAAATTAGTTTCTTGGGATGGAGAAAGTGGAAGTCTCCTCGATAGGAGACTAGTAAATTCGCTGTCTTCCGAAGCCGGTGTGGTTACTGTACTTGGTGGCATGTACGCTGCACTACCCGACTTCGATGCGGCTAATTTTTTAACTGTAGGTGTTTGAGATGTGGAGAACACAACTTTGATAAGACAAAGTACGCATCCTATACCGATAAAAACAAATCCGATCTTTTGTGTCCCTGGTATGCTGATTGCCACACTTATAAACACCAAAACGATGCCAGAAGCGATAAGAATGGTTCCGATGCGCATTAAAAATTTCAGTTTCTGTTTTTCGATCTCGTGTGGATCGCGGGTTCTCCTGTGTAATGTTATGGTGCTGACATAACTGGGTTGAGAACTGCTGCTGATGGTACTGATACTGGGCGTTGTGGGTCTTCTGGCCTGAGAACCTGGCCGACTTTGTGATAATGACGATACACTACTCTGCCTGCTCGATGCCAAACTGGCCGCTCTGGCCATTTTCTTCCTCCTTTCGCGCCTTACGGCCACAGCTGGCATTGCAGAAATCATCTTGCTTATTTATACCTGTAAATAAATGGATAAACCATGAATATAATTAAGTAATGGCGAAAATTGATAAAATTACTATTGTCTAAATTAATTTTCTAAATTATTATAATCTCGCGGGAGTTAAGAAATGTATACAATAAACGAATTAATTCTATTAATGTCTTTTGATAACTTTTGGGAATTCAAGAGATCTATTTGATAATACCGAGCCGATGTTTAAATAATAAATTTTAAAGAATTCGTTAAAATTTTAACAGCATTTAAGTGCAATTTTCAAATTTATTTAAAGTAAAATATGTCAAAATTAGATCGATAAATTTTTAATAAGTAAAAATGTTTAATAATAAATAAATTAAAAAGAAATAAATCTTATTAAATTATTCATCTATATTTTAATTACAATAACAGCATTATAACGATATAAATTATTATTAATATTAAATAATTTGAAAGTAAATTAATTTCTGTATATAATTAAAGAGAAATTTAATAATTTAATACGTTTCATTTCTATAAATATATTTAAAAATTTCTGTTTATTTTAAAGAATTAATACTTAAAATTACAAAATAAATAAGATAAGTTTTCAAATTCTATAAATTCAAAAGCAAACAGCATTTGCCTATAAGCTAAAAAATAAAAACTAAAAATTTGGAAAGAATAAGGAAGAGGAAGAAGAAGAAGAAGAAGGAAAAAAAGTCTAAAATGCCCTTAAACCATATTGATATTACTGAATGTAGACGTAAAATCGATAAAAAGTATTTTATATCAATATAAATGTAAAACTTATAGTCTATATATATTTTTCTAGTAGAAAAACTTGACAATAATCAAGGTTGAATAACCTATACCAATTCGAATAATTTTCTATTGATGTAGCAATTATCTTTAGAAACTTCTAACAAATCTAGTTTGGTGTATAAGAAGAAGAGAAAGAAATAAATTGCTGTATATTAGGTTGAAGTAATCTCTGTTGTGTAATATATTTATCGATATATCAGTAGATATTTTTCAAGAAGTGAGATGTAATCCGAAGCAAATAATAAAGTTCATTCAAGAGGGGAATGTACCATTATTTTTCTATTATTTTTATCGTTGCTTAACTGCTTCTTTGTTACTACATTTTTCATCAATTGCAATAAAGAAAAAAAAATGTCTTAAACGATTAATTTTGATAAAATAACTTTAAAAATCGTTTCCTGCAACTATTTTTTATAATTATCAATAAACTATTTACGTACAGAATCTGGTTAATGAATATATACATATTGCTTCTGCTCATGAAAATAATAAATCACACAATGTAACTGCTTTCACGTATTAAAAAACTTTAACACAATGATCATTAAGCTAAAGGATAATTTAATAATGTGTTAAAGTGTCTTCATTTCCATAAAACAACTCATAAAAATATCTACTTTATACATAATTAATTGACATATGTTACATCGCGTGTTGTTAGCTTTATATGTGTGAATAATGATTATAATAGAGAAATTTCTGAATGGATCTGTCAACACGTATCTTAATAGACAGCTTGACATAGATGAAAGCTTCGAATCATTGGGTGTGTCTGACTACTGCAAATAAATTGGGTTTAATATTCTTGCTCCAAGCATAAATATAATCCAAGATGAATGTAGAGTAATTGATGATGTACAGTACACTATCAAAATCCTAGGATTTAACTGCGAATTTCTACTTATCTCTTACATTTATACAACTGTCTTGTGTTTTAAAAGATAAATTACATAGGAAATAACAGTGAAACTCGGTATGTTTTTAAGATAACCCACAAAATTTTTAATGTAGAATAGTAATTATAATTTGAATGTTATTGGAAAATAATTTATCATCATCATCTCTCAACAATTCATCATTGGAAAGAAGATATTCGACAAGTTTAAACCAAACAAAATTCTATAAAAAAATTAATGTATTTTTAATTTCATTTTAAAAGAAGTTTAAACTGATATTATTAAAATAAATACAAGCAAAAAATGTTCAAATTACTCGGGTGAATTAAAACGATTTTCTACGTAGATATTAACGAACAGTGATGAATTTTAAATTAATTTTTGAAAGAAGATTAGAAAATTGCATCGCTCTTCCTTTTAATCTATTGGAATGCAATATTGTTAACAGTGACAAGTGCAAATTAAAATGTAGTTAAAATAGAATTTAGGAATGAAAATTGGATATAAAAAAAGGAACAGTTTATTGATTTATCGATCTCTTTNGTATATTCAAAATCCCTTTATCTATAGTTTCTTAATCAGGAATAAAGAATATTTAATTAATTTAGAGGACCAATTAACTATAATTCTCCTATCCAACTTAAAATGTCAATCAGTATTATTAGTATCGAGATTAATGAAGCAAACACTCGAAAAACTTTTATAAAATTCTCAACAATTTTTAATGTATAATAAACTTTAATAAGCACACAATTAAATATAATTAATAATACATTAAAAAAAATATATTGTAAATGAATACATCAGTACAAATTGTTCATCTATCTTATTCTATGTGATAAATGAGGTAGTTTTTTTTATGTGAGAGAAGAATTAAAAGATTGTATGATGCAATAAATCATCTTAATTATTTCGTCACAAATATTTTCCTAAGTTATTTATCAATATTACTGAATTGTAAGTTATACAAAAGTGTAACGCAATAACAGTAGCATTGATCGATTACTGTTACAATAACTTATCACTTTGATCCTGCTGCATCAAAGGATATTTTTCAGGAAATAAAAAAAAAAAAAGGAATCTTATGTCAACAAAGAAAAGCTGGATATGTGAGAAAAGTCAATATATGAGGAAACAAAGTTTTACGAATACTTCTAAAGAAAATATATATAAATATTTTACTTAAATATATATTATTAATAATTATATAACATCTAGAAATTGCTACAACCTTTTCCAATTTAAATTTGTTTATACAAACCGAGCAAGTTAGTTTGAAGGAGAAAAAAAAGAATAATAATTCATATTATATTCTGAAATTTTATTATTTTTTAAAATATTTTTTGACATCATTACGGTGTGTCTATAAGAAGTCTTTTCTTGGCTTCCTCCACATAGAGTGTCATTCGTTTATCGATCTATTTGAAGAGAACTGCTGCCGGGAAACAGATCAACTCTGTAGATAATACAGGTCATGAAAACTTGCCATTTTAGAAATAAGCCAAAGCTTCGTATGGGTATTTCTTTTTTACTTTTACATAATACTCGACCATCACTCTTTAAAAATTACGCTTACGAAATAATATATTACACGCTCTTCTTCTCCATCTTTTATTTTATTTTACGAATTTAACGAATAATATAAATATAATGACGTTTATTTTAAAATTAAGAATGCTTAAGTATATGTAAAACACGTTAAAATGCAACCTTTTCCTCTTTTAAAGTGTTTAAAATCTCCCCCTTTTAACCTTTCATTTTAAGAAATCATTTAATCTAGATATATATATATTTTTTAAGGAATAAACTATTAAGCGAATTTATTAAAAATTTATCGAATTTTATACTTATAAATATATATAGAAAGTAGAGAATTTATTTCTACTTTTGGCACTGTTTCTAAAAATCTGTGCTACCTTACATGATAAATGACACAATTGGCGCCTTAAAAGTGATCTTTTTCAAACAAATAAATGCTAAAAATTGTTCGAAATTCAATATATTTGTGTATTTAGTAAGAAAATGAAAGATTTCTATCGATACTTTTGTCTTACATTTAAATCTACGTCGATGCAGCATAAAGCTGCAGAGGTTGTATCATTGTACGCATGTGCTACTCAAGTGTAGGAATAATTTTATTTCGTAGGACCCAGACCGATCGAATTGAGTGAATTTGTTAAATGAAAATGTTATTGCTACGACAATAAATAGATTTTCTTAAAAAATACTTTTATTATTATTATTTTTTTTAAATTTAAAATTTATTTAAGTGATCGATAGTTTTACTCCATTTTTTT